ACCTTATTCTATTATATATACTGATAATACTCTTATATTTACTCGCTAATAAGTTAATAATAAAGTTTATAGAATTTTTTTTATAATTTAATAGCGATAGAAAGCGAGCTTAATTCGTTATATAAACGATATTATAAAGCTTTAATTCGCTAATAAATATTATATATCTTAATATAATCGATAACTTACTTTAGATTTTTATTTTAATAATATTTATAAATAAATAACTTATACGTTTTTATAGTGTTAAAGTATTTTAATAATAAATTATTATAGTATTTACTAATAAGCTCTTTTTTTAAGATCTTATTTTTAGAAATATAAAGGCGATTATTATATCTTAATAATTTTTTAAAGTTTAAAATCTATATTTAGCTATATACGCGACGCTTAATTATTAACTTATTAATATTAATTTAAAAAGAGCTTATCTAATTATTATAAGCTTATAAATTTTAAATTAATATTTTTATTAATCTTTAAAATACGTTATAAATAATCTCTTATATAATCTTAGACTTTCTTTTAAAAATAACTATTTAAACGTCGATAATACGAAATATAGACGCTATCGCTATTATAATTTTTTTATTTCTTTATAACTACTTATTATTAATTTAAAGTATAAGCTTATTCTATAGTATTAATAAAAGTTTAATATTTAATAACGAAATTTTTTTATAATTAGAGCGTCGCGATAGCGGATTAATAAAATTTAATTTATCTATTTAATAAAAAATCTTAAAGTTATAAATAGCTAACTTTAGTGTCTAACGAATTTATTTAAAGTTTAATTTCTTCTACTTTATAAAGCTCTTAAGATTATTATAATTTATTAAAATCTTAATATAAAATATATTATCTTTTAGATAGTAATATTATTACTTTATAAACGCTATAATAGCGAATAACTCTTAATTATAAATCTTATAGTTTTACTTTATAGAAATTATTTTTTTAAATTAGAATATTACTAATCGCTAATAGCTATTTTTATTTAATTATAAAAATATAATTTCTATATCGAAGTTAAAAGCGTCGATTTTAAGATATAATTTTAAATTTAAATTATAATAATATAGAAATAACGTAATTATAAAAGTACTTCGAAGTTATTAAAACGCTAGCTTAGCGCTATTTATTTACTCTAGCGATCTAGATTTTTTATTATTTTTATTCTCTTTAAGTAAGTTAGTAAATAGCGTTATTATATTAAAATAATTATAAATAAATCGCTAATAGAAATTAATAAAGTCTAAAAAGACTTATATATCTTAATAATTTTTTAATTTTAACTACTTCTTAAAATTAGTAATATATTTTTAATTTATTATAATATCTTCGATAAATATAATAAATTTTAAAAACTTAATTCGCTTAATATAGAATTAATTTTTTTTTAAATTAGCGTATAGTTAAAACTAGTATAAACGCTTAAGTACTTACTTAATATATCGTTAATACTTTATTAAATTAATATTATAAATTAGAATATTATTTAAATATACTATATATATTATATTTATTAAACTTATAAAAGCTTTATTAATATATATTTAAAAAGTTATTAATATATTATTAAGTTTAAAAGATATAATTAAATATTTAAAATAGTCGTAGCGACTGCGAAATACTATTTTCCATTTATTATCTTCTTTAATTTAAATTTAATAATAGATATTCTTAAGATTTAGCTTTATAAAGACTTTAGCGTTATATAAGCGATTTAGAGTCTTAATAATTAGAAATAGTAAATATTAATTTTTAATAGTTATCGCGTTTAGATCTTAATAATTAATATAAAAATAAAATTCTTTATTCTTTTTAGAAATAAAAAGAATTAATATTTTAACTAAGAAAGTTAAATAATAAATTTAATTTTTCTAAAGAAAATTCTTTAGATAGCGTTATAGCTTCGCTAATTTTATTTAAGATAAATTATATAAGAGACTATATAGCGGCTTTTTATCGCTTTTAATTTTAATAATATAATTTTTCTACTTAAGCGTAAATAAGATTTCTATTTTTTTATTAAAAAAAATATTATTAAATTTTAATAACTTCTAAGAGAGCTTTAAATTACGCTTATTTTTTAATTCGCTTTATATTATTATAGCGTATACGATTATAAATATATTTAATTTATAATTTAAATAAATTTAATTAATTCTTTAATCTATAATTTATTAGCGTTAATTTTAAATTATTATTACTTCGTCGCTAGATCTAATAATACTTATAATTAACTTAATTTAAATATATTTAATACGATATTAAGGCCTTTTTAGTTAATAATATAAAAGAGTATACTATATTTTTTATTTTAATTCTAGTTATTTATTAACTAGTAATTTAGCTAATACGCGCTATAGTAATATATACTTTAATCGCTTAGCGCTTTTAATTACGATAAAATAATATTATAAGATTTTAAGTTCTATTAAATTACGAATTTTTATAAAATTAAATTAATATACGCTTTAATATCGAGTAGAGTAATAAGTTATCTCTATTTACTTTAAAGCTTTATTTATCTCTTTATAAAAATAAAAGAAATTATCTCTATTAATTATTATTCTTATCTCGCTTTTAAGGCGATTATAAGATTAAATCTTTTTTTATTAATACTATATCGATATAAATTATAGGCGATTTATTAAGATCTAGATATTTAGATATCTAATAACTCTATTTTTTATAATAGAAATAACTATTCTTCTTATAATTAGAGTTAAAGAATTTAACTTTATACTTTATATTATTATCTTAAATATATATTATATAAGCGCTATCGTTTAAAGCTAATTTAGACTTTAAAATTTAATTCTTTAAGAACTTATCTTTAATAAACCTTCTCGAAGATTTCGAATAGAAACTATCGTTAAAGCGTATATATTCTAAAATCTTTTTCTATATAATAGTCTAGATAAGAATTTTTTCTCGTTATTTCGATATATTATTAATACTTAGAATCTTATTCTTAAACTCTAATTTAAGCTTAGCTAAAAAGAAATTAATTTGATATTTCTTAGAAAATAGAATTATATAGACCTTTAGCTTCTTTAAATAAATTTTAAAAATAAATATCTTCTAATTAAAGCGTTATTTAATCTTCTCTTACTTTTCGTATATAAGAAGATAATAATTTATTAAATTCGCTATTAAATTAAATAGAAATTACTTAAAAAAATAAAAAGTTATATTCTTTAGATTATAAATTTAATAGTATTTATATTATTAAGTATTAGAGTCGCCTTTTAAGAATTATATATAATAAATAATTCTTAATTAGTTAATAATAAAATATTTAGAATTTATAAGAAATTTAATTTTAACTTCGCGAAATTAGCGTAGATACTCTTTCTTATTAATACTCTTATAAAAATATATTCTTTTAAAATAAAGTATTTTTATTTTAATTAATATATTTACTAGAGGCGTAATAATAATTAATATAAATAAGTCTTCGCTAGTTATAAATAATAAGTTAATATTATAAAGCTCGCGATTATAAACCTTTAATATAATTAATTTATATTTTTATTTTAAATAATAATTTTTAATCTTAATAATTATAAGACGTTATTTTTTAAAAAAAATATTTTTTTTTTTAAAAATTAAATTTTTTATTAATTATTTTTTTTTTTTTTTTTTTTTTTTTTTTTTTTTTTTTTTTTTTTTTTTAATTTAAATTAAATTTTTTAATATTAAAATTTTTTTTTTTTTTTTTTTATAAAAAAATTAAATAATTTTAATTTTTTTTTTTTTTTTTTTTTTTTTTTTTTATATATTATAAAAAAATTTTTTTTTTTTTTTTTATTTTAATATTTTTTTTATTAATAAAAATTTTTTTAAAAAATTTTAATTTTTTTATATTAAAAATAAATTTATATTCTCCCAACCTTTTAAAAAAAAAAGGACGTTATTAAAAATTTACCCCAAAAAGGGCCCTGACGTAGAACATGCGATGTCGGCGCCTTGGCGTAAGTAGCGCCAAGGCCTATAACGCATCAGGCCTGATGCTTTCATATATCTCGCTGTGTGCAGTCTTCTTCATACGCAGCGAGTCCAGAATCACACTTTCCACTCCTGATACTATTATGATCACCCAGTGCCCCCTATTGCCAGCTCTAAGATACGTTTATAAGAGACACCGGCACTCTATCCATCCGTATCTACCTCGTTACTCCTTAGTATGACATCCACTTGTGCGGTGGGCTCGAGTACCGGAAAACCGTTGCCCGAAGTACTCTCTAGAATTCCATTGTACAGCTGTTATCTTTCATGTCGGGAAATAAGATACGAACACGAACATGAGCTTCTCTGGCATATTCGACTGGCCCGCATTGTTCGGGTCTTGATATACCAATTCGCTAATTATGGTCTGAAGTCCGTGTCTTTACGATTTGATCTTAGCCCTTTTTTACAATGCATCAGAGGCAGGGGCACCGAAAGCTAATTGTCCTGTCTTGAGTACATACTGAACAAGACAGCAACTTGAATCTTCTCCTCTTGATGTAACAAAAGCTCATCCATCCATCATTAAGAGGATGAGAGTAACACCTGATGTAGTACTTATTCGGTGAGGTATTCCCCTAAAGAAGAGTCACTGAGTCCTTTTTTACTCTCGCACCTTGGGCGGATGGGCTCTGTAGATCTGGTAACAGTGCACGATGTCGGCGGATCTCAGGTCCATGGGAAGAAAACAATAGTGGCGGATTATTCTCGTGGAAGCTTATCATCAAGTGAAAAGGGATACGCCAATGCTTTGTTGCTTCGCTTGAACCTTCCCAAAAGCCGCTAGCTTGGTGATGAGTAATCAGAGTTACCCTCGCGTTTGCTGAACCTTGAAGTTTCAACATTCTGGTCTTCTTTAAAGAACAGTCTTGACACAGGCGACCAATCTGTTTCGTAGAGGATCTCCCACTCATGTTGAACTTGAGCCATGTTAAGACGACCTTCCTCACTTCGCTCCTTTAAAGGCGTCGTCGGCCAGGAAAATGTTCCCTCTTTTTAGAAAGAACTCCTCCAGCAATCTCAGCACAAAGCTGTGTCTTCTACTCCTCCTTTCAGAATGTACAGCAGCCTGGGCCTTGCCTTTTTTTTCCACCAACGCGCCTAGCTCTTTGGACGAGCAAGATCGATGGCTGTCCACCCCTTCCGAAGTGATCCACCGAAGCTTTCGCCCAACGCCCCCAGCCCCAAACTCCGACAATAGAGCCCAAAGAGACCGAGTCCTAATTCTAACTCCATTGAAAGATGCCTCATTCCATCTCCCACATCACTTCGCCCTTCTCTCAAATCTCACCTACCCTCACCACCTCATCGATCTGGGATTCATCATTGGAGACACCGTCGATGACACCCGGGCTGTACTGGATGCTGAACTCGACAAGATTGAGAGCGGTAAGCAAGATAAGGCCTTCAACAGCTGCACTACAGTTCTCCAAAACCTTGGCGATGTGGCTTCGCAGGAAGTAGCTGCGAGACATGGCTTTGCGGCGCAAGTGGATAGGCGGAAGAAAATAGCTATTGTGCGGAATACGCTACTCCAGAAGACGCTAAAGTCAACGCATGACTGGGTCTATTGGAGGGATGTTGACATTGCTGAGAGTCCTGATGGGATGTTGGAGGATTTAATAGCTCATGATAAGGATGTCCTCGTTCCCAGTAAGTTTACCCTTCTAGGTATATAAGTCTTCGCGTTGGCTGAAAATCATTAGATGTCTGGTTCCGTCGCCAGCAAAAAGGCAGTCTAATCGAAGGTGGATGTGAGTTCCCTTGGTTTCGGACCGAACTCCACTGATCAAGGGCCGCGCTTGCCAGACGACTACAACTCCTGGCAGGAAACTCCCCAAAGCGAAGCCTTCAAAGAGCGTCTAGATACCGAGGTCATAGTGTTCGAAGGTACCCGTCATAGCGCCCTTTTGACACGCACCAGCTAAATGAACAGGCTATTCGCAGTTCAAGACCCGCCGCCGACACTTGGCCAAACTTGGCGACTGGCGCAACAACGCCGCACTGGAAATCCCACTCGACGGCGTTGGGGGAGTCAGCCTTCTAATCCGAGCAGAAGTTCATCGCAAAGGTATCCTTCCAAAGTTCCTCGCCCGCTCCTTCATTCCTCCCTTTACTTTTTTCGTGACTGATCAAACAGGCATCGACTTCCCCATCAAACCAGTAGACCACCAGATTGAAACCGAAGGACTTGCAAGAATGGCGAAAATTGCCGGGTATGGGGTTTACGGTCTCCCAAATTACGTGATTTGGCATTTCGACACGTCAGAGAAAGAGGGCAATCTTCACGAGACACCTGCATGGCTTTGGCCGTTGCTGGGGATTGTGGCTGTAGCTGTGATAGTGCTAGGCTTAAGATACAGGAAGTGGAGTCTGTATCAGATGCCGGAACTGCGACAACTCGGTTTTGCGCGATCGGCGAAGGTGCGACAGTACTGAGGGGCACCTCAGCGCTTGGTTGTGCAACCGAAAACACGTTCGCTTACAGAGGATGGCTCAGCTACTAGCTTCTTACAAGCACACGGAGAATCATTTACCTCGAACAGGCCTTCTCGTAGATGTTGCATGTCATTGGTAGGCTATAATCATCCTTGGATAAAACTTGTCACCCATGGACAATATTCTCCATGGCGAATTTACTTACTCATGGTGTTATGGTATTCATCTCATAGGCAAGTTTCCATCAGTACCATGTACCCTCCCATAGACAAATTAGATTACCGATGGAGAATATATCTTCTTCGTATGGGATATAGAAGTCAACTACCAAGACGACGACTACTACTTACTTTCTCAACCCATTTCCACTAAATTTTGCTACCTCCCTCGCTACCTGCAAATTTACATCGCTATCGCTTTCCCTCACGGTCTTCTAAATTACGTTCTCTATAACCATGCTAAATCCTCATAGCAGTGGACGAATGTTTAGACAGTCAGACATATTATTCTAACTCGTTCCGTCGTGGCAAGCCATGGAACCCTTAGCCTCTGTCTTCCCACAAGCACATCGACGTGTAAAACACCAGGTCTTGGTGTCTCGGCAGTTGCAATGGACAGAGGCCTTCTCCGTAGTACTCTCGGAAGCAGCGTAACGGTGAAGAGTCACTACTCCTTGCCCTCCGGCACAGTATAAAGGTTCTAGCGTGGTTGAGTGCCAAATGGCTTAATCTGAGTAAGAGAAGACGGTATGTAAGCTTATTTGTCTCAATCTATCGTGAAAGAAAACGCATCACCTGCACAAACAGGACGCAGATAGAAGGTAAATAAGTGATTGGGCCGTCTCACGCCGGGGATAACAAACCTGAGTAGGCCGAAATGGAGGCCTGAACAGGCATATTCTCGTACCGCAGCCTAAGAAAACTCTCATGCCTATGCCATTGAAATGACTATATACGGGGCGTGGGTGGGTGGGACAAAAACAATGCAGTGGCTCTGAGAGAGAGGAAATGGAATGAAGAGCCATTGACAGGTGCAAAACAGGTGGCTATATAGTCCGTACTGGACACCTGTCTCCTACCCCTTGCAGGGATCATGGCATGGGCCTGAAACAGGGGCATATCCTGTGATCAACTACCCCCGGTCCCACTGTGGTGACTTATCTTCGACTTGAGGAGATAACGTGTGGCTGATTCGACCGCTGCTTAAGCACGAGAGATGAATAATTTGATAAAAGGAGAATTAAAAGTAGAATGTGTGCGCAGAGGAGGTGAGTGTATAAGAGAAGATGTGTATAGACGACCAGACAAAGAGGGCAATAGCGAGGTTTGTATATTCAAAAGACCTCGAATGGAAGGCCTTACCTCGGTGAAAGATACAGTTCGAAAGAAATGAACTCGCTGTATCTTCAAATAGTGTCGCATTGGTGTGGGATTTATAGGTGACTACCATAGGCGACAAAGTAGGATCCGTGGACAACATAGATTATCCATGGGGAGTTACATGGTACTGATGGAATTTGGCCCATGAAAGGGTGCCATGACCTGTCCGCAAGAAATCGCGATCCAATGAGATGCTGGGAAAGCTGTCGAACTTTGGTAACTAGAAGATGTCTCGGTAATACAATGATATTCAACACCGATCTTAGCAGTGCTACATCTTGCAGAGAATCTTAGCTGTCTTGGGTCGTTCTCGAGAGAAAAAACAACTAGACGAGAATGCGGTGCCTCCTTGCGAGGTGCGTATATGAGATGAAGTATGGAAGATAAGCGTTTCATCATTACAACGAATGTTCCCAGGCATTCCAATAACCACCAGAACCCGACATCGTACCTTCACTCGAAGTCCAGACATTCTCTATATTCTTGCTTCCCCGACAAGAGCCTTGTCCATCTGGAATATCGAAGACACTGTACGAGAGAAGTCCAGGAGAAAGTCGCTGCTCCATTGGAAGAGGTTCTCGAGGAGTTGCGACAAAAAGCTCCTCCTACCACAATTCCTCCAAGCCCAAAAAAAAGACCCATCACGTCCTCTGAGCACTAGCACCTTGATCAACGTGCCCTCCAAAGCGATGTTCCGCCGTCTCAAAGATGTGGAATCTGTAGTCAAGACCTAGAATGCAAGTCCCTCAACAATGCTTTGCTCACCAATCTCGTGGCCCAGCCGCAGCCTCATCTTATTCGTCTCCCTCTCCTTTACCACGACCGTCCTCGGAGTCAATAAAGAGCGATCGCTCTCAGAGCTGTCTTCTGCTACCAACGTCACAGCCGCAATACCCTTCTACTCTCTACCAACCACATACCCGCTCTCCCTGACACCGCAGAACCCGACCATCGAGAACCAGATCCGAAACACCCTCGCGCACTACCCGCTCGCGATCGACGGCAAGAACTTCGCGGCCCTAGACCTCGTCTTCACCCAACATGTTGTCGCCAATTACTCCGAACCCTTGGGCGTTCTGACGGGTCTGCCTGCGGTTGTTTCGGCGCTAGAATCAAGCTTGTCGCCGGTCGGAACGCAGCATGCATTTAGTACGCAGGTCATTGAGATCTTGGCGGGTGAGGTTGAGGCGAGGACGTATTATACCGCGTCACATTTTGGGCAGGGGGACTACTATGGTCAGGTAAGCTGTCTGAAGAGTTCATATTACGTGCGTTCGTTCGTTCGCTCGCTCGCTATGTCTGGGACACGTTCTTTCTCTATTCGGGAGTTGTCGGATGGGACTAGTGAGGCAATGTATTGTACCTGGGATGTGTATGAAGAGTCTTTGAGATTGACACTGATATTCGCGGGAAAGGTGCTCTACGCGTATGGCCAATACCAGGATGACTAGATCAAGATCTGCTGCCCAGAAGTGTGGAGGATTAAGACTCGCACGCTGGTCTACATGGTATGTTTTACGTCACACCGAAATTAGCTAGCTTCGTGGTAGTCCAGGCGGCCGAACGTGTTCTCTGATCATTCATAGGGCCCGTTGATCGGCGACTTGTCGGTATTCACATAAAAACGTCCACCAAAAGGCTACTACTGTTATAGGTGGCCGCTACATCCAAGTTTACTGAAAGACATTTAGCAATCATAGCACCTAATTTCAACACAGGATGATGTCAAATCTAGTTAGCATTGCTGTTGTCGCAATTCGTATGCTCGCAGCCTTGATCCCTCAAAAGGCTATGTGACGGGTCTCTTCAAGGTAGGTCTGACGTCTCTGTCAGCAACAGGTAGTATAATAAACAGAGGGTGAAAAATCCGGTCCTGCCTGCCCCCTGATGCATACACAATCCACCAATTTTGGGTCCCTTTTCATCATTTATCAAGGTGCGCACTATGTCTTAACTTTTCGAAATTCCCAACAAAGTCTTGCTCCTTATCGTCGACACAATCCCCAACGGCGACCTCGAAAACTTCACTTCGAGCTGTAGGACCATTCGCAATCTCGCCAGTGACGTCTTGTGCAAACACAGGGAAAGGACACAGACCTACCGGACGCTCACAAACGGCGACTCAACCATAACATGGGAGGGTACAATCGGGACTCGTCCAACGGTTGTGCTTCGCTATCTTCTCACCAATGATATGCCGTGTAATCTCACCAGTTCACACTCCAGCGACCAGGATTATGACAATGTAGAATAGGGGGACCGCAGTCAGGCTTATCCGTCCCGATAAATTCTGAGTAAATCCAGCTCTTCGAGACGAATATCACGAGTATTTTAAACAGCAAGTAGTAAAGAAACCACATCCATTACATCTATAGATTTCCAAAACACCACCCAGAACGCTGAATCCAAGAACCGCGCTCACCCAAGCACGACGAGCCGCCCAGGGAACAATGCGTACGTCCTTCACAACGCGTGGAGGACGCTCCTGTCCCCCCACCTGATCTCGCCAAGACCTATGCGTCACAGCCCGCTCCCAAGCACTCACAGCCTTCACACCCATCATTCGGGAAACGTCGCGTCTCACAGTCCGCCTAATCCCGCGCTGGTGAAGCGACGAAGAACGCTCTCGCTCGCGCATCTCCTTCTCATGACTCATCGTGGACAGTTCCCAAGCCCGTATGGCCGCTATGGCCGCTAAGCCTTGCTCCCGGTCACGGGCGCGCTGGACGGAGTTTTGGCTTGGATGGGTTGGGATCTCGTATTCTTGTTGTCGGGTGTTGTCTCTTGTAGGATATAAGTCCGTGAGGCGAAGCTGTCGTCTTCGATCCTCGACTGATGATCCTGGTCAGAATTTGTATCATCTCTATTATTTCCAACACGACGTTGCCCCCCCGTTTGTTCATGCCCCTGCTCAACCTGACTTCCACACGCGTCTTTCTTACTGACGGATCCAACGAAGCGCTTCCCAGCTGTCTTCGCGACCGCGAAGAGGCTTCCGAAGCTCAAGGCCACGATTATGAGCAAGGCCGCAAGAGCTTCCTCGTCCGGACGAATGTCGGTCGGGTTTTGAGACATGTTTGGGGTAATCTGAGGTGGCAGATGAGTCGTATTATTCCTTCTGAGTTGGGTGTGCTGGATGAGAAAACGCAAGAGGGATATGGATAGGTATAGACCAGTGAATCGATGGGGCGGAGACAAAGGAACGATTCAGACAAAGAAGTTGTTCACGCAAAGACATTTTCTGCGCAATGAGACAGTTACCTGCACTAAAGGGATGCTCTGGAGGCGTTCGTTGTCCTACACCACAACTGATAGTGCCGTAAAAGTTTTGACAAAAATCCGACCACAACTTCTCATCGCCCACATGTTGGCAAAAGACCGCAACAAGTGCGCACCGGTTAGCTATCGCATCCAGGTCACCCTGCGTCGCGCCTTTGATCCAAGTCGGGCAGTGAACAAAGGGAAGGAATCTCTTGTAAATACATCAAGAGACACTATCTGAAAGAAAATGACCTTCTGCACAGACGTCTTCGTCAACGACCCACCTTCGCACCTAATACCCAGAGTTTCCCGGTATCACGCCGTAGCAAGGCCCACCCTTCCCAAACATTCTCCGCAAGTCCTCAACGATAGCCTCCGGCCTCTCCCACGCCGCGAAATGACCACCCTTCTCATGCTCACTTTGGAAAACCACCGGACCGAGCGTCTGCGCCCAAGTCTTCGGCACGACGGTGATCTCTCTCGGAAAATGTGCAACGCCCAATTTAACATGCGGAATCCATCCGCGCAGCGTGGGTGTCGAAATGCTCGAGAAGGGTTCAGGGTGGGTAGCTTCGTAATAGATCCGGACACTCGCTGCGGGTCCGGCTTTGGAAAACCAGTAGATCGATACCCATGTCAGAATCTCGTCGTCGGTCCACCGGTAGCCGTCGGTCCAGTCGTGCAGCTTTTCGAAAATCCAGGCCAGGAGGGCGGTCGGACTGTCAGCGAGTGCATAGCCGACGGTCTGGGGTTTGGTGCTCTGAAGGAGGTTGTATCCATAACCCTCATTCATAAACCATGCTGATCTCTCGTGTCCCGCCTTTTCGCGAGCATTGTACGGGGATATGGCGTGCTGGAGGGCCAGGAGCGGTTGTTGAGCGAGTTTTGGGGCTTGTCCGAGGACCAGGTTGATGTGGGACGCTTTGCAATGGTCGGGGTATTGCAGGCCGATCGCTCGCGTCACTGAAAATCCCCAGTCTCCGCCTTGTGTGACTATCAAAATATCAGGTATGATGTACCGGACAGTCAGAGGGCAGCCTACCATATTGATCGTACCCAAGCTGAAGCATCAGCTTGTGACATGTTTCGGCGTACTTTGTGAGTGTAAACCCTTTCTTGTTGATGCCGTCGGAAAACCCGAACTGAAGGTTTAGCAGTCAGCTTCCCTCCTTAATGCTGAACGGGAATTTACGATGGCGGAGTCGTTTGCAGGCAGGGTCATTTGTTTGACGAATCCGTACTTACATTAGGTAGTGAGGGCGCTACGAGATGGAATCCAGGGGCATTTCCGTCTCCGTTGAGGAAAGGCAATAACTTCTTTACCTCAATAAATGATCCTGGCCCTAATAGCGTCCGTCAATTAAAGCTGGCAAAACCGAGAAGGAGACGGCGTAAAAGCTCCTGTGCCAATACCTACATCCATGAGAAAACAAAAGTGGAATAGCTCCTTTCTTGGTACATGGTTGATGAACGACTCGAAGTCACTCTCGTTAGCCAATAGCAATGTCAAACAGTGATCGAGGAGGGTCCCTTACAATGAATATCAAGATCGCCGAAACCGTCAACGTCCAGCTTGGTTTGGTAATTTGGCAATTCATTCAACGTCGCTTCCGCTTTCCTCCAATCGAAGCCTTCTTTCCAGTAGTTCGCAAGTCGACGTATATCAGCAACGGGCGCACCAAATTGCCAGACATCCTGGTCCGCGTACTCAAGCTGATCAGGGAACTTGGCAGTTGAGAGACGTTGCTTCAAGTCCTTGAGTACCTCATCTGATACTGAGATTTGGTATGGTTCTGGCACCATGGTCACTCTTCATTACTTGGAAGGGCGGTCGGTTCCTAAAGTCAACATTCCACTCGAGACGACTTCTTCTTTCTTTAAACGAAGCTTCGTAGATGTATGACTCACGCGGGTATTATTAATCAAAAGATTTCCATCAGAGCAACAGGGGCCATCGCAACCCCTGTGAATCACGTTCATCTCCCGCAAAACTCTTGGCGGACAAAGATACAAGTAATAAGCAAGTACTGTAAAGCACGTATCAAACGGTATGGACTGTTCGTCAAGAAACATCATTTCCGACTCGGCCGTACCACCTATAACGACGTAACTTTGCGTATGGATCGCTCGATCACCTACTGACGTTCTTAGTAGAGCAGATATGACTGAGGTACTCTGTACGTACTCGTGCCGCGCTCCAAGTGAGGAAAGCTGAAAATCATCTCGGTCGTCTAGGTCACGTGATGACTGACAGATGTCTTGGCACTCGACCCTCCGCCCTCCCTTCACACCATCAACGACCAATTGCATCCCCAACCCCGGCCAACCATGGGCTGGCTCTGGGGCAAGTCCGACCCTCCCAAATCCTCCGACAGTGACCCCCTCCGCGACCTCGACCCCAGCCTACGGGACTTCCTCTCCAAAGAATCCCCCGTAAAATACACGCCCGCTCCACCTCCCCCAGCTCCGCCTCCGGAAACCACCACCCCTGCACCTTCCAGGGAAGCAGAACCTTCCTCCACCCCCGTCGTCCCCGCCGAATCCCTCTACCCCGACGGCCGCTACGCCCACCTCTGGACCTCCTACAAGTCCCTCTCGGCCATCGAAGCCGAATCGAAATCCGACCAAGAGAAACTCCTCGACATACTCGAAGGCTACAAAGAGCGAAAAGCGCAAATAGGGCGGGCGGCGGTGGAGAACTGCGTCGAGGAGCAGTTGGCCGTGAACGACTGCTACGACACGGGGCGGTGGAGGGACAAATTGATGATGTGCAGGGGGGAAAACCGGGCGTTTGAAAGATGTTACATCATGCAATCGGTATGCCCTCCACCTCTCCCTAAACGGACTGTTCAAAAGAAAAAGAAAACCGGGCTGGGTGATAGAACGCTGACATCGATCCGTCCAGCGCTTCCTCAAAGCCCTCGGCTACCTCTCCACCTACTCGCGGCCCGAGTCCGTCGACGAAGCCATCCAGATGCACGCCGACACCCTCTACCACCGCATGCTGGCGCAGGAAACCGCCGCCGCCGACGCCGCCGCCGCCGGCCTGCCCGAACCCCAATTCGCCCCCATCCTCGCCTCCGTGTCGCGATCCACAACGCCTGCCGCGGGACCAACGACTCCGGCTCCATCACCAGCACCAGCAGCGGCGGCGAAGAAAGACGACTCACCGCCTCTGATGCCGGAAACGCAAGCGCTGCTGACGGCGGAGACGCAGGCTGCGCTGAGGCAGCGGTTGAAGGGTATGACGCCGACGGAGAGGGAGTTGGAGGAGAAGGGGTTGGTGATGGACGCGAAGGCGGCGAGGGAGACGGGGAGGCAGGTGTCGGATATTATTGGGCTGAGGAAGAGTAGGAGAGAGGAGGGGAAGGCGACGGTGGGTGATACCATTAGTGGGTGGTTTGGGTGGTAGATGATCTACGGACAATCTTAGCACTAAAATCATGCATTAAGGGCATGTTATAATGGTATGCTGGGGCTCATTGATAGCCTAAGCAAAACGGGCGCTCCATACATGATAATATGTGTGCCATTTTAGGCATTTCATATGTGTGTTTCTGAGTTTGGCTCATAGACCAGCTCGTGTATCATTACATGGGATCTCAAATATGATTACCCTCACCATAAAACGCCCGCTCAATGCACCACTCATAATGCTGAAGAGATTCATCAAGGCCATCAGGGCCAGGCTCCCTGCTGTTGCTGCGATTGCCCCGGCCTCGGGAAGATAGGAACAGTGCCTAATTGCTCGAATCCGCCCATCGTGCCCTGACCCGCCTGCCAGCCTTGTCCTGTTTGCTGATTGACAAAGACGCTCTGCCGGAACGGATTGGTACCGGTCTGGTTGGGCACTAATGGTGATGCTGCAGGTGGAGATGCGGTGCGCGCGAAAGGGTTCGTCCCTGTTCGATGAGGCGTGACTGGATTATTTGGAGATGGTTGTTGTTGAGGTTGGGGCGCAGGTTGCGAGGTGAAGGGGATGTTTTGCTGTAGTTGGGGTGGTGGCGAAGTGAATGGTGATCCTTGTGCAGGCGGCTGAGATGCGAATTGAGAATTTTGCATCTGGCCCGTGGGTTGATTGGAGATGCTACGGGCGAAAGGATTGGTGGATTGATGTTGTAATGGTGAGGCAACAGGTCCAGTATTCTGGTAGGAAGAGTTCGAAACTCCTGTGGGTTGGGGCATCATAGATTGTCGGAACGGGTTTGACAATCCTGTCTGTTGTGGGGCAAACGATTGCGGCGTTGTAAAGGATCGCTGCGGAGGACCAAAGGAGGGTTCACCTGTATTGAACTGCTGTTGAGATGTTGGAAACTGCGAGGTACTGTTCTGTGGTGCGCTTGAGAAGAGATCCTGCTGTTGTGCGAATGGCTGCTGGCTGTAACCGCCGAAGCCGGCTTCACTAAAATTCTGCTGCACAGCCTGTTGTGCTTGAGGTTGCCCAAATGGGTTTGCACTGCCGAAATTCCCGCCGTTTTGTGGTTGCGGCTGCTGCCCGGTGTGTGCAAAGAAGTTATGTTGTGGAACAGTAGTTCCCGTCTGCTGTGGTATTGCCTGCTGTTGTTGGTACTGAGGTCCCGTTTGGAAGTTGAGCATTTGCTGCTGAGGCGTTGAAGCCATAGGTTGTTGATTCTGCTCGATTGAATCGAAGAAGTCTATCAAATCCGGAGCCGGGCCTTTCGCCTCTGGTTTTGCTGGAGCTGGCTGTGATGCAAGTTTCAGCTCGGGGAGCGCTTTGCTTGCTCCACCTTTGTTCAATGAAAGTTTCGAAAACCCATCCACAGGCTCTGACGCCCCATTGCTTGTGCTCTTCTTGCCCTTCTTCGCATCTTGCTGTGCCAGATACTGCCGTCTGTTGATCTCAAAATCTGGATCTTTGAGGTATTCTTCCAGAGAAGAAGTCAGGCTGGTCGGAGCGTGTTTAAGCTTCGGAATCTCTAGTCGTGTTGCATTCTCATACTGTCTAGCTGTGCTCAAGAATTCCACGACCAGGTTGGTCTGCTTAGTGAACGTCTTGTATATAGCTAGAGCTCTTTCTGCATCGTATTTGGACATTTCAAAGTAATGCTCTGACCGGCCTACGTTAGCCAGCAATTCGTCGCTTTGATTACGAAGGTTCGTACCGAGAACATTGATCGTCCCTTCGTTCATAACGCCGTAGAGTATCAAGAGATCCATAGTCAGCAAACGAAACGCGCATACGGTGATCTCATTTTCCGCCTCCGTATTAAGGAGCTATCAAGGCGGTCAGTGTCCCTCTGTCGATGTACCGAGACTCGAACAAGTAGCACCCACATCACATTGCAGCAGCTTTGAAATTTGACTCTGCACAGCTTCCGTCTCCCTCAGTAGACCCTTGTCTATGGTCTGTCTCTTTAATCGAGTAGGACCTTCCCTGACCCAATCTATTCTGGTATCTTTGTACGCCTTTGCTCGAGCCAGTAGATAGGTATAGTAATGCCGGATATTGGTTCCCTGGACCTGCACTAACCTCTCACACCCATTAGCACAGTCTCAAGTCGTAGGATTCTTGTGAGGGAAAGCCCCATCTCTTTACAAACATGTAGACCCACATTCTGTCGGCCCCCGTGCAGATACCATCTTATACTCCTTAGACGTACCATCTGAGAAATTGCTTATGGCAAGCTTCGAAGGCGACTCCGCTACGTATTTCAGCGTCACGTTGGGTTCCCCTTCTCGTACCATGAGATGCACTATGATGAGTGATTTGAAGACTATTGTCCATGTTGAATCTCTGAGGCGGTTCTGTAGGGCTCGAAAGATCTCAGCGACTCCGGCTTCTCCAGCGTGGGTTGCGACTAGGATATGTTCGACATATTTGGCCTTGGGTGGGGCGAGCTATCTCTAGAGGTCAACAAAGGGATCGCGGCACTGCGTGACGGGTCTTCTCGCCTTGATCTTCGTCCCGCCTTTGACCGACTTTTCGAAAGATCCAGACATGGCAGATGGGCACCCGTCGCAACGACAAGTGCGGGCTTGGCTGTTTGCAGCAAGACTGCTTGTCTTGGAGGTGGACTTGGAAGGCTTTCGGGCATTCCACCGAAGCTATCGCGAAAGCCCCGGTAACGGGGTCATGCTGTCGTCACTGTGAAGGTGTTTGCTAGGTCCGAGTGTACCTCCAGTGGAAGTTATCAGAAGCGCACGTGTTGGCGGCGGGGCGCTAGAGCAGGCGTATAGGGTCGTCGTCCTGGTGCGCTTCAACTATTTATCGTTGCATCAATTACAACGTGGCATCAACGAACTGTTAAAGTTGTGGCAACGAGAACGACTTCTCTTGTGTATGCTGATTCGGGGCCCAGCCTGCCGGATGACAATGGATGCTTGGCGCTGTCCCCGCGGATCTACTATTGTTTCTTCTACATATCTCTAAACTCCTTTGATTTCTCGGACAGAATAACACGCATTCTATATTATTTCCCGATACTCGAAGAGGTTTCAGTGTCAGATCTATGGAGGACGAGCTCAAATATGGAAGTATCTTCTGTTGTATCGAATGGGCAGGCAGAGATGTTGCGTTGTTGTTACGTCCGTTCAGTCATGTAGAGACTATCGGTAGTCAGGAAATGATGGACTGTTGACAGCGCTGTGCTCAATCTGCCGCGCAGCAATCTTGACCCTCAGTATCGCTTGAGCTGAGCATCTAGTGCGCCTACGGCCATGATTCCAGATTTTACATAAGGCGGGAATAGGCAAGAGATGACGGAGATGTGATTGACCTTGGCCTTGAGAAAGAGGTTGACAAGGATATGCATTGCGTTATGTACATGGCGTGCTGGTGATAAAACTCTTGTGCAGGACTTGCACTTCAACGCCCCAAATCGCGGATGGAACGTGCAGTATGTAGTCCATGGTAGGACACCTTCCAGGTTTGAGGATCAGAAATGCCTTCATCGCGTCCGTGAAGTAACAAGGTGTGTGTGCCGAACGCCGATTTCATACTCCCTTTGTCACCAACAAGCAGCCACTCGAGCCCGGTGAAGGGAGAGCCGCATGCCAGATCAGAAGGAAGCTTGTCATATGGTACACTCTAGGCTTTCATCATCTGCAACAGGTATTAGCTTCATTGGTAATTCGTGGATGGGACATCGACTCACATGTTCAAAACTTGGAAGGATGTAGAAAGAAAAGATTCCTTCGTGCGGAGGAATTTTGGAACACGGGCAAAGATGCACTAGAGCTTGATTAGGAAATTAGCTCCCCACAGTTGCCAAGACAAATTTCCCGCGCTATTTACGAACGACAGACTTCTCAAACCCTTCCAGCAATAGTAGGAGCGTCGGACACAAAACTCACTCAACCGGCAACCCTGGATTTGACCTGTTTATCACGACGTAGCTCGGACTTTCAATGCTCTCGAAAAACAAAGATCTAGACACCAAAGTCAATCTAGTCAGAGCCATTGGTTGTCTCCACTAGCTTGACGAAAACCATCAACAGCTCTATGTCCACGCGAGCATGCCACAATGTCCGGTCTAGCTACGTGGAGGTGTCGAACTTCGTTCGACTGTCAAAAACAGGGGTGTTTAAGGATGTACTATTTCGTCAGTTAAATGTCTCGCATCGATGCCTGTTAGAACGAGCTCAGCAGAGATGTCGCTCGCTGCACGAGTCTTCCTGTCTTCTTCACGAGAATGCAGTGGTGGGAAGTAGGCCACCATTTATTGACAAGTTTAAAAGATCCCGTATGTACCGGCCCTAGCCGTACCTTGCTCCGTACATTGATGCTTATCAACATCATTCATAGTAAGCCTTCCCAAAGCTGATAATAAGGTATGGAACATCTCAGAAGAATACGTAACTGGGTCTCCTGGAAGAGAAGTCGTGTTGCATGGTTACCTTGGTCCACGTTCCGACTTGTCCAAAAAGCTATCCTTTGTGACTCTTTTCGATACAGCGTATAAAAAACGAGTCCAGATCGTTGCAACCCCATATTTTCCGAGAGAAGGAGATCAAAACGTTCATGAGAAGCTGAAGTCCATAAAGGCAAATACGCCAGTGGCTCTCAGGGGCTTCTTTGGGCCCAAACCGGGAAACCGCCAACCCCCATCAAGCAAATCAACATGGACACTTGATGATTTTGAACTCAAATTGTGCGATATAACAAGTCTCAATGACTTACCATCCGATTTTATTGTGACGCCTGATTCCGAGTTCTCCCCCGAGCAGCGCCACCTCCAGATCAGGACGAATCAGCACATTTCTGGCGCTCTCGGTCTTCGTGGCGATATTGCATTCCTCTGTAGAGAAATATTTCATTCGAAGCTTGGGTTTCTTGAGGTGGAAACACCACTTCTATTCAAATCCACTTCTGAGGGTGCACGAGAATTCATCGTACCTACAAGGAGGAAAGGATTGGCATATGCATTACCCCAGAGTCCTCAGCAATTCAAGCAGATCCTCATGGCGAGTGGGATTCGAGAGTATTTCCAATTTGCTCGATGCTTTCGTGACGAGGACTTACGGGCTGATCGGCAGCCTGAATTTACTCAGGTAACAATGCCCATTGGGAAGCCATTAGCTGATGCAAGCTAACTTGGTATTATTCAGTTGGATATAGAGAAATCCTTCGCGGAAGCGGATGATGTGATAGCAGTCGTCGAAGAACTCATACGCACGGTTTGGAAACGCTTCCTAGATGTTGAGCTTCCGAAACCCTTCCCTCGCATGACCTATACACAAGCGATGTCGAGATACGGTTCAGACAAGCCCGACTTGCGCATTCCGATACAGCCATTTTCCAGAATCGACCATCTCTTACCAGCCGATCTGGTTGGCAAGATAACGTCCTTGATGAAACCTATAGTCGAGGTAATGATAATTCCAGGTGAAGGCCCGACAGAGACTATCCGTGGTTTCATTCGTGGCTTCCTCGACTCCCCAGATAACAAACAATTCCTTGACAATCCTGCGGGGGGTCCTGGCATCTTCATCTACGACTCCGGCAAGCCCCTTCAGGGCCTGTCTGCCTTTGGCTTCGAAGCTGTCGAAGAACTAGAGAGGATGTTTGGCTTGCAAGATGGCTGTATAGTCATTCTACAAGCTCGCGAGAATGCTCCACCGAGTGGTGGATCTACAGCGCTAGGCGATATGCGCAACGCAATCTACAAAGCTCTCACCACCCTTTCACCACCCGGCTGGAAGGACTTCAGTCCAGTCTGGATCACCGACTTCCCACTTTTCTCACCTTCCAACTCCTCTGAACCTGGCCAAGGTGGTAACGCTGGTCTGGCATCTACCCATCACCCCTTTACCTCACCGAAAACGGCCAGGGACGTGGATCTGCTGCTAACAGACCCTTCCCAAGTTATTGGAGACCATTACGACCTGGTAATCAACGGAGAAGAGATTGGTGGAGGCAGCCGACGTATCCATCATGCCGAAATGCAGGAGTTCGTCATGCGTGATATCCTCAAGATGGACAACGAGCGTATTGCGGAATTCTCCCATCTGCTGGAAGCTCTCAGGTCGGGCTGTCCGCCTCATGCTGGGATTGCACTAGGGTTTGACAGGCTGGTCGCTATGATCCATGCCAGTAGGACGGAGAAGAAGACTACTCTCAGGGATGTGATCGCTTTTCCCAAAAGCGGCAAGGGGGATGATCTCATGGTGAAGAGTCCAGGTCCAATGACTGAAGATGATCTTCAAACTTATCATCTGAAGCTGCGAGAGTAGGTTGTCTGTATGTGTATATATTATATGTAAAATAATCACATTAGATAGAAATAACATATGTCAATCAATAAAAGAATATAACGTATTCTTCCTAGAACATTTTTTACTTGGGTGGCCGTAAGATTACTCGAAATGGTATCATAACGGAGTATTCTTTACCGGCATGGCGCATCGCAGGCCCAACCATTCTACAAACCCCCAACAATGGCACCCTCATCCACCATCACCGTTGATACTGTTCCCCTCACGCCCTCCGCCTTCGCACCTTTCGGCACCGTCCTGATCTCCCCACTCTCCTCCGCTACCACGACCCCACCAACCCCTCCGCCCCGCGGCTCCATCTCCGCAAACCAAGGCACCGCCCTCAAATTCCCCGACATAGCACCTGTCACATCCATTTACCATACCTCTCCGAGTGGTGCCCTCGCCAAGCCGTCTATGAGTCTCTTCTCCTGCTTCGCACGAGCTCTCCGCACATCCAATGGCCGGCAAATCTTCGACGTCAAAGTCCTAGAACGACATCCTTTCACTACGCAAACATTCATACCCCTCGCTACCTCCTCCCCCTCTTCCTCAGTCACCACCTCTACCACCAAATCCATCATCATTGTCGCACCCACCCTTCCCACCCCTCCTCCTCCCCCGCCTTCGCCCCCAAACCTAACGCCCTACTCTCCACAGCTTCAATCGAAACAAGGCGGGCCGCCCGATCTAAAGAATCTGAAAGCCTTTATGGCAGAGCCGGGTATGGGCGTCACGTATGGAGTGGGGACGTGGCATGCACCTATGGTTGTGGTGGGAGGGAGGGTGGATTTTGTGGTGGTGCAGCATGTTAGTGGGAGGGGGGACGAAGATTGTCAGGAAGTGGATGTGCAAGGGGTGGAGGTGGTGGTGGAAGGAGCAGAGAGGGCAAAGTTGTGACGTAGTTTGGGTCTGAAAGGAAGGAAGGGGGGAGGAGTCATGGTACGAAATATGGAGGAAAGATATCCGATGGTTGGCTGGAAGGGGTTCATCTAGCCCAGTACGCACGACATCCCACTGAATGCTCTTGATATTCGAATATCTCACTCTGATGGCGGCCAACAGTGGCCTCGTCTCAACTCTGCTGCCAACAAACACTTTGAAGCATCACATAAGTCCCATCGCAGTTTCGTCCTCCACCGCCTTCTGCACTATCGAAAGTCTCTCGAGTGACTGGACTAGCTCATCCGCTCCCGCGACTCCGAGTCGAGGCCAGCTCGGAGGAGTGTGGTCGATACGTTTTTGAGGTACCGTACTGAGAAGATCCTCGAAATCTGAGAACTCCTCGAGTGTTGCCGTCCTTTTGTCGACTAACAGCGCCATATCTGCCAGGTGGATGACGGTCTAGAAGGCAATGTCTTCCAAGCCTTCGGCTTCACAACGAAGGCCAATATGCTATGTCATCTCTATTCCCACCAGATGTGCTGAAATCATATGGACGTGGCAGAGGGCTAAGGTGATTTCTCCGACATCACGCATGGGCGGCTTTCCTTGTACTTTATCCATCCGATATCGTGGTGGACGCTTGGTTTCACAGTGGTGAGATAGCGAACGAACGATCGTGACCAGAACCTAGGGTAGCGACCCTGAGTCGTCCACCTATTCGAAACCGTGGTGGACGCTTCTTTCTATGGCGAAGGTTCACTCCAACGAACCATAGTGTCAACAGGACCCGAGGTGGCATTAGTGACACGTCTGTCGATGGACATGGGCTGTTTGGTGTGGTTGGACAAATGGTCATCAACACCGCCCAGTCGTCGGGCGCTAACTCTTCTTTCTCCATACTTTTCAGCTCGCGATAGCTTGGTTGGAGTCAGTGTGAAAATCAGAAACATTTCGAATACTTCCTTCCACAAGATTCATATACAGAGGGTTTCGAATCTGCTGCTTGCCTTGCGTGAGCGTTTTCCCAACTATCAAGCACCCTACGGAGACTTGCGAAACTCCTTCCAACAAAGAGGACTTCTCGATTCTACTATAACGAACCCATCATGTTCGTCCGTAGACATTCTGCATCGCTAAAACCACATCTACTTTCGAGATCAGTTCAAGTTCCATACGAACAGTCGCGACTCACACAAAGGTGAAGACGAAATTGAGGAGTACGTGAGCCAACTTTTGCACTAAAGGTACGGTCCCCGTTTCTGTGCACCAGGGCCACTTGCACATGATTTGAGACGCAAACGTACTGATGTGATTCATGGCTCCAGCTTTCCCGTTTATTGCTCTATTGGTCGCCGCATGTCTGAGCTCAACCATCCTTATGAACTTCTGGCATTCAAGTAGAGAAGATGCATTGATCTCTACTTCGCAACCATTCACTCTCCTACGCCGACCATGTACGAATTCGTCAACCAGATGACAACGATTTCGCATTTGGGCCTCATGTTGATTTAGGCAGCGTTGAGCGATTGGAGCCGGAAGGCTATGGCCGTGGTTGTTTGTACGACCAGGTCTGGCAGGGCAAATGAGAAGAGTATGATCCATGAGAGGCATCTTGCAGTGTGCCACTGATCAGCGACCTCTGCAGTGGGGCTGGAGCATGTTTGATGTTCCACGTGTTCCAAGGATGGTTGACCATGTCCCGGACGGGCCCGAACGAGGGAACGCTGATGGTCAATCCACTGTTGCATCTTTCTACGGCGTATTGTTTGCTGATGTCTTTTTTTGCACCGAGAGCGCAAGCTGTGACGCCAGTTGCCGGTCACTATAGCGCAGAGTTCTTGGACCCTGATTAGTGGATGTTGAAGAACGCGTCTGGAATTACGAGTGATCTTCAAGGCGCAAATCCTGGTTCCGCCTAAGAAATGAACCAAGTGCTACACCCGCAACTTGACCTGCAGAAGACGATGGTGCACATTCCCGACATCAAGGCTGGTGGCGCTGTTGTATGGCTATGTGACAGTGAGTGTCCCGTAATCCTTTCCAATTCACCAGACCACGCCAGCGCTGACTATCACTCTTCTAGCAATCCACGCTGTTGATAAAGTGCACATGGGCAAGTCCGATTCCAGCGTCATGTATATTCCAATCTGTCCGTCACTGAAGGAAACACGGAGTATCTTCGTCGCCAACGAGACACCTTGTTGCAAGGGTTGCCAGGTCCAGACTTCCCTGGCGACAATGGAGAGTCTGTGCACTTTGGCCGACCGACCGACATGTACCTAGGGCATTATGTGGCGATGGAAGGACTGCGGGCGGTGGGAATGGAGAGACTGAGTTGCAAGGATTGGGCAGAGACGCCTAGAGCGAGGAAGGTCATACAATTGGCGACTCGGCACCTGGTTTTGCTTGAAACACATTGTTCCTGGAGTTGTTACTGCATGGTCGCATATGCTCATGACGAGATTATAAGCAGACTTTCCTGGAACATTTGGTTCAAGGTCGATACCAGTTTTCAACGAATCATACAATGGAGAGAATTTGCAGACATCGAATATGTGGAGGATTTTGTATTTGTCTACGCACATCGCCACTGTGTCCGGCGTTGCATTTCTGGACCCTGTCGAGGTTAGTACTTTGTTGTGTTCGGGGTCTGCGTAGGTTTGAGTACTGTTGTCCATTTTAGTTGTTTTTGGTTTCGGACAGTTGAACGCTGGTCGAATAGTAATAGATTTGATGTGTAAAGGATGTCTCTTACCCTGTGGTGTCTGGCGGATGGGTATAAAAGTGGTCTGAAGAACTATTAAAGAGCGAAGGTGGGTCGTTCTCATACATAGAAGAGTCACACCGACTGGAACAAGTTTGTGAGGATAATCCATTGCACAACAAAGACTTCAGATTAAATACACACGTGCAGCTGTCCAAGACATGAGATTCTTTTAAGCGTTTCAGGTGGAGCACAGATGGAGATCCAGGTCTGGAATAGATCTGAGACACCGACATAAAAAGACGGGTAGCTGCTTGCTCTAGACTGAATCATAGAGGTCATGTCCTATCTCATTGGGGAGGGTGCAGAAGGTCCAAGCGATTCCAGCAACTCAGACTGGGGAAAGCTGGGATTACAGCTGAAACACGTCAAACGTATCTCTGCTTATTCGAAATCAGATACTCTCCAACAGCAAAGCGTTCCAAAAGCTTTAACATGTCTGCTGCAGCTAGTAATGCTACTTACTAAGACATCTTTAGATACTTGCATCACGTGGGTGTTTCTACCAATATGCACAGGCTCTACCGTACCCATGAAAGAGCGCTGATTGACGGATTATCAGGCTTTACAGAGTGGCTCGCTTTCATCAGAATACATATAAATCTTACTGAAGTCAATCCACAAGCCATTACACCAGGGCCAAGGCTCGCCTTGATTGCCACAGCACACGAGAAAGTTGTAAGCATTGTGATGCAACTGAGAGTGATAAAGAAGTTTTTCGAATAGATCTGGTCTGGTTATCAGGGCGGCACAAAAGGTCGAACCTTTTTGGGTGAGAGAAAGTAGCATCAAGAGAGAAGGAAGTCAACCGGGATTAGGCATGAGCAAGATGACATTATCCACGTCGAGAACAATTTCATTACCTTCTTCTAGTAATACTGCTTCAGTAGACAATATTCCACTTGCCAGTCACTGTGCAGTTGACTCTGGCGTCTTTAATGTTGTCCTAGATGAGATTATTTCATCTACACATGCTTCACAGTCAGCTTGTGGAATTCATCAGTAAACCATCGCGGCAAGACCAGGTAGTTGACTACTGCTGTATCGATAGTGTGGGCGGTTGTAAGATTTACTACTGTTAGATAGTGTAATGAGAATACTCGTTTGGTATATTTAGAGCACTAATCATGTAGAAGTAGAGAGCAATATAGACATTGATGAATGGTCAACATCGTGTTCGCTTAAGCTGTAGGCGCATAACCACTTAGCGATCTTGGCACGTTCTAGGGACAATGAGGCAATCGTGCTTGCTGTGGCACGTGACAGATTGGTCAGCTCGGGAAACCTTCCCTATGAAGTTCTGGTTATCTATCCCGCCATGGCAACGTCTCTAAAACATGCTACGACACCTCCGGAGCCATCAGTGAAACCGAGCCTCCTCTAAGATGGCACCTTAGAGCATTTTTCAGAAGGGGACAGAGCTATTGAGCTCCAAAGTCTCCCGCGATGCAGCATCAAGAGGCCACGGAGACCTCTCCTCTGCTGGCAAAACCCACCGCTGCTTTGCCAGATCCTAGTCTCACTCCCAACAGTGTGCCTCCCAGCGAAATTGGGGCCACTGGGCATCCAAATGGAGACGCGAAGCCTGCGGAGGATGAGGAAAGCCAAACTAACGGCGAGGATCGAGGTCACCAATATGAAGGCATGCCAGATGTGAAAGCGAAGCTCTGGTACATCGTGCCAGCAATCGGGATTGGTGTAAGGCCTTCTTCATCGTTGCATGAATTCACGGCCTGACATTCTCTAGACATTCCTTTCAGCTGCAGACCAGACCATTATCGTATCCTGTTATGGGAAAATTGGTAGCGATTTGAAGTCGTTGGAAAATACTTCATGGATTGCCACAGCGTGAGTGCCTTCCCACTCAGTACTCCAAGACCTCTTAAGTATACAGCTGATGCTTTATGAGCATAGCTACTTCCTCACACTGAGCTCCTTCCAACCGCTGTACGGAAAGATGAGCGACATCTTCGGAAGAAAGTCCTGCCTTCTTTTCGGCTATGCGATCTTTGGCCTCGGTTGTCTCTGGTGTGGTTTAGCGAGGAACATGAACGAACTCATTGCTGCCAGAGTAAGATACACAATGGAGGGCTAGGTTTCGGCGAGGCTGAAATATGCCTTAAGGCCTTTGCAGGTATCGGTGGTGGAGGAATGACGACCGTTGTCTCGATCATACTGAGTGACATCGTACCGCTTCGAGAGAGAGGGACCTGGCAAGGGATAATCAACATCATCTATGCCTCAGGGGCTGGCTGCGGTGCACCACTCGGTACGTGTTCGCTGTCCTCCGATGGAGGCTGTATACTAACCCGTAGTAGGCGGTCTGTTGGCGGACCAAGTCAGTTGGCGATGGTATGTGGACCCCAGCTTCTCGATTGGCGTAGGCTAACACCACCAAGGGCTTTCCTGGCACAGGCACCAATGTGTGCTGCAGCTTTTCTCAGCGTTGCTCTTGTCTTAAAACTTCCCGAGCAAGAATCATCGGACTGGAAGACCAAATTGCGGCGAATTGACTTCTTAGGCGCGTTCCTGCTCGTAGCAGCGATTTTTCTCCTGCTCCTTGGATTGGATCGAGGTTCAAATGACTCCTGGTCGGCCCCAATCACTATCACTTCGCTCTGTATATCATTCCTATTGTTCCTTCTCTTTATAGTTGTCGAGCTCAAGCTGGCGGCCGAACCATTTGCGCCTGGACGCATCATCTTCAAAAGGAGCCTTGTGGCCTGCTACCTTTGCAATTTTTTCGCGTTCGGAGGATGGATGACAGTACTCTTCTATATTCCACTCTTCTACCAGGCCGTTGATGGGTTCTCTGCTACCCAAGCTGGGGTGAGGCTTCTACCAAATGTTGTTGCTGCCGTCTCGGGATCTCTTTCTGGTGGCCTCCTGATGCAGAGGACGGGAAAGTACTATTGGCTCACTGTTCTGGCATATTCAACCTCGACCTTCGGAACCCTCCTGATCATCCTGTGCACAGGATTGGTAGTCAACAATACGTATGGTATCTCGATTGGACTCGTCATGGGTGGTTTCTGCCTTGGAATCGGAACCACCACTACCCTAATCGGGCTGATCGCCAATGCTGCACCAGAAGATCAGGCCATTGCGACAGCGTGCTCGTACTTATTCCGGTCTCTTGGTTCCGTTGTAGTCTTGTCTTTAACTGCCAGCGTCGTTCAGCAATCTTTAAAGAACCAACTGCGGGAACATCTAAGCGGAAATGACGCGGACGATATCGTGAAGAGAGTACGAGAGAGCTTGGACTATGTCAAGACTTTGGAGCCAGCAGTGCGAGAAGCTGTCCGGCAATGCTATGCCAGTTCGACGAGGAACGGGTTTACATTCTCACTGGGCATAGCTTGCTGTGCAATGTTGGCAAGCTGTAAGTCGAAGATGTGACATTGAGCTGGAATAGGAACTGACGCATAGAGTTTAGGGTTCATAAGGGAGAAGAGTCTTAGTCGATAAACTCGAGAACCTCCGAAATATCTATATATACATAATGTTTCAATGAGGATCCAAGGATTTCTTACGATATTCATTCTCTCACGTCACGCCAAGTCTGTAAGGCTGTTGCGGCAGCAGCCAACACTTCACGCACAACTCAGCGACTTCCTGCCACATTCGAACCCATTAGCAGTATCATCTCCTGCTACAATTCTATGTGAAGTCCCAGCCTTACTTCCTATCAGCCCACTTGAGAAAGATGCATCTCAAAATTGGCTCCAGACCTCCCCACCGAACTTACAAACATGGCAAGCGTGAACACGACTTCGGGCCCCCAGCTCAAGTCCAATCAGATCCAGCAGACCGTTAGCAGAGCAGTCGATCTCGTTCAATGCCCTCATCAGTCCACAGCATCGGACCCGCCTGCCGCAGCTACACTTGAAGTACCTCCAATCTACGATTCGAGTAATGGCCTTTCTACTCTGCAAGGCCGCAATCAGGTCAACTACGGCGGAATCCCAGATCGTTCAAGGTCTTTGCATAGACCTGCCCTGACAGAGCTACATTCATGGACAGATGACATGACGATTCAACAACTTCGACAAATAGTGAAATCCCACCATGCTGAACTTCTTGAGTATTGCCAAAGAATCCCTACTGTTCAGCACCTTGAGCAACAGCTCAGATCTCAGAATGGTAAACTTGTTTGGTATCAAAGGAGCGCGGATGCACTAGAAGCCTCCATCAAGCATGCAGAGATCATGAACAAAGCCATCGTAGAGCTTGAGGCTGAGATAGCGCCTTCTATACCAGCGAATGGGGCTCCTCAGCCTGGCACGAGTTATTGCCATGGGTTTGATCTGGTTGAGCGTCAACGCCCGGGCAGTTTTACTCGGATCGGTGTAGTACGATTTGCAGCCTTAAAGCTACGGGACTTGAGAGCGACTCTGCCTCCAGCCTCCAGGGGCCGTGCTAGAGCCGCAGCCGACAGTACACGGCTCGACAACTCTGAAATCTCAACTCCTCCGCCTCTTATCCTGTCTCAGCGCAAACACCGGACTACGATTGGTGACGAAACCGAGGAAGACGACTGGAAGGGCAAGGGGAGGGAGTCACAGAGCTTGGGTTTCCAGTTCTAAGTCCTGATTTGGTTCCAGACTGCGGTGCAACCTCTACACAGCCACCTTGCGACCGGAAAGGTGTGTTTTGAATTTGTTGGCAACTGATTGGATTACTGATTTGCAAGATACTCAGATTTTTTCAAGTATATTCTGCAGCACAACCCTAACTTCCATGCAAGTGCAACGCCTGCATATAGCAATATAGCGTTCCAGCTATTTGATTTTTCAATTTTTTTATATTACTGTTGCGAAAGGACGAATTACTGAAGTGGATTTTAGACCGTGCATTACCGCGTAGCGGGCATTACCGGGTATATACGAGTACGTCTTCAAGCCCGCCGCAGGCCGCTCTGATCTTTAGCGTATAGCCGCACACTGTCTCAATGATTTGCTGGACCCAGTAACCATTCTTCTTACTACTAGATAACGCTTGTATGCTACTTTCTTATGATCATAAGAAATTGTTCCGTCAACAAGCAACGGCATCGTTACTTCGTTGTCAAACGCCGAAAAAGAAGTCAGCATCTTTGTATGTGCTCTTGGTAACATCCCGATAGCGGCAGATGGCAACTCTCTCACGCCGATGATTGCGAGCCTTTGTACATAATGCATCTTGTTTTCATGAAGAGTCCAATTCCCCTTTCTGCGGAGTTATTTTCTTTGAAAGATAAAGCATGCGTGTAAATGGATGCACATCAATGCATTTTTTCGTCATGCCGAGCTTAAAGAAAGAGTGTGCCGCCCTCTTTTTATTCGATCCCCTGGGGGAGGGTATCCCAAAAAGCACCTTACTCTCAAGCATTGGTGGCCAAAAGAAACAGAATCAGCCATTAAGAGCACCAGATACACATCCGGCCCTTTGATAAATATCTGGCACCATCTAGCTTGGCTCAACCATTAACCATTCACATGTCACTTCGCAATAAAACCACCCTTCTTCCCCTCCACATACTCCGCCCAACTCGTCATCCTATACCTCCTCTTCAATTCCTCCACAGGAGTCGCGAAGCCCTCATCCTTGAACCACCGGAACATAAGCCCCAAGTCCTTAACCGCCCACATCGCCGCTCCAACCAGCGGCCCAAACGTCACCGGCATATCCTTCCCAACTTTCTCTTTGAACACAGCGTCAGCTTCAGCGTAAGTGATCTCATCGCCTGCGAGACTCATCGTCTGGTTCCTATACTCCTCGGGATGAAGAAAAGCTTCGGCGGCGACGACGCCAATGTCAGGCGTGTGGATGAGTTGAATCGGCTTGTCGGACGGATCCAGTGTGCGTTTCCAAGCCGTGGCGAACAGCCTCCCGAGGAAGTCTGGCGTGAGATTGTCCATGAAGCATACAGGTCGCAGAATCGTCCAGTCCATCCTGCTCCCTTCGCTCTTCTCCATGAGATGCTCCTCAATGTGATGTTTGTGCGCAAAATGCGGCACATCTGTCGCCGGACTCCCGGCTCCCCGCTCGACAGAGCTGTATACGAATTGCTCGACCGCATTCTCCAACGCCGCATCCACGAGGTCTTTGCCCTGTTTCTCTTCGTTTCCGCTCATGGGCGTTTGCACGCTGAAGACGCCAGAGATGGGTGCTTGGCTCGGTGTTAGAGATTCACGGGCCGACGCGAAGACAGCGCGGGGGTCGTCGAGATTGCCTTCGATCAAGGTGAGCTTGGGCGACCGGGCAGCTAGGGCTTTGGCGGCCGCAGAGGTCTTTTTGCGCGTTAGGGCGAGGATGTTGAAGGAGGAGGCGGAGGGGGAGGCGAGGAGGGAGGTGATGAGGGCGCCGCCTTGTTTGCCGGTTGCGCCTGTTATGAGGAGGGTGCGTGGGGAGGGCATTGTGGTTGTGGTAGAGTTGAAGGCCTGCGAGTGATGCTGCTTGTGGAGAGCAACGTCAGGCCTTGGATTTAATCTGAGTCTAAGAATGGACTGGAAGACGGCAGAAGACGTATCGAGCTTGAGATACAGAAGCAAATAGGTAGTAGATCGAAGCCATACTTATACTCTCGCAGTCTCAGCTTTTACGAATACGGGCTGGGGATAGAAGCCTTGTTCGCGAAATCCAGGCCGATGGCCGCTGATAAAAAGCACGTCACGGACCAGGGATAAAAGAAGGAAGGCGGAAGCAAAGGATCAACGACGGAGAGCGGAACCTCTCCGGAGGTGAACTTGAAGAATTACCGAGACGCTAATCGTGCCACACACTCCGCTCCGGCCCTGGGACCGCTGACTGATTATCCAAACCTGATCTTAAAGTCCCTATGCCTCGAGGTGGATGAGTAGGGCAAGACGACCAGCCTCATACTGCCCCTTCCTTTCGATTCTGCGCATGTTCATTTGAGTAATGCAAACGGGAGTTGTAAGGCAATGAGTCCCAATTGCAGGCCACGTTCGTTCAGAGCTATCCCACATTGATTGTGACGCCAACTTCCAGATGTAAATTGACAAACATGAAATGAGTGGCCTTAGGTTTAGCAGCCTAACTCAAGACTTGGAAAGACATCATCCATCCTGCAACAGCATCAGCGGACCCAAAGCCTGGATTCCGCCCGGATACTCCAAGCGCAAAAATGGTAGAAAGAAAGCATAATATTCCTTGCAACGATACAGTCCCGAAGAAAAATCTAATCCATATCGCCAAGACCTCCGCCGGGAAAAGCACGCTGAACGCCGTAGCATTCGCAGCTGAATCTCAAACAAAACCACCCCAGATGTTCAAAGCGTAGGATACGGCCATGTGTCTGCTGCCTACACTGCAGTCCGCAGCAAAATTGTGCGCCCGGACGCAGTATCTCTCGAGAGACGTTGTGTGATTCTGCAGAGAGGTGTGCTTGGGTAGGTCCATGATCCACTCGAGCTGCTTTTGCGGGTGACGTCGCCACGCTATTCCTCCGGGTTGGATGGGTTCAAGACCTGTTGTTTTTGGATGATCTGGTGTGAGGAAATGAGTGTCTGAACCGCTTGCTGAGATTTTTGCCCAATTTGGAGATAGAGATACGACCTCGACCATAATCTCCATTTAGGTCATTCCCTCCCATGAGACTATGCTTCAGCTTCAGCGAACTTGCCCTGATTCTCGCAGCATATATCCAGATTGCAGAGTGTACGTAACGTATCTTCGTGATCTGGACCCAGCACCGTCTGATATCCCGTTAAAGCTTGCTGATACATTGCTTCAGCTTCAACGAATTTGTGTTGTCTGTGATAAAGAACACCTAGATTGTCTATCAATTTGAAAATCGTTTCGTTTTTCCGAGCGTCTGGTCCATAAAGCTCTAGTTCCTGTAGACATATGTGTAGCTTCAGCGAACTTGCCCTGACCCTCGTAGCATTCTCTCAAGTTGTTGAGTGTACGCAACGTATCTTCGTGATCTGGACCCAGCACCGTTTGATATCCGTTTAAAGCTTGCTGATACATTGCTTCAGCTTCAACGAATTTGTGTTGTCTGTGATAAAGAACACCTAGATTGTCTATCAATTTGAAAATCGTTTCGTTTTTCCGAGCGTCTGGTCCATAAAGCTCTAGTTCCTGTAGACATAAAGGTGTAGCTTCAGCGAACTTGCCCTGACCCTCGTAGCATACTCTCAAGTTGTTGAGTGTACGCAACGTATCTTCGTGATCTGGACCCAGCACCGTCTGATATCCTGTCAAAGCTTGCTGATACATCACCTCAGCCTCAGCTGATCTCCCTTGTTTTTCGTATAGACAGCCTAGATTGTTTGACAAGTCGAGAATCGTTTCGTTTTTCCGAGCGTCTGGTCCATAAAGCTCTAGTTCCTGTAGACATAAAGGTGTAGCTTCAGCGAACTTGCCCTGATTCTCGCAGCATTCTCTCAAGTTGTTGAGTGTACGTAACGTATCTTCGTGATCTGGACCCAGCACCGTCTGATATCCCGTTAAAGCTTGCTGATACATTACCTCAGCCTCAGCTGATCTCCCTTGTTCTTCGTATAGACAGCCTAGATCATTTAGGAAGTCGAAAGTTGCTGAAGTCTTTTGTTCATCTGGGACGTGCTTGAATGGTTCTACTGCCTGCAGGTATAAAGCCTCAGCCTCAGCAAGCTTCCCCTGCTTCTCAAAGACGATAGCGCTAGATACGTCCAGTGTTTTTTCATGATCCGGCCCAAAGACTGTCTCATATCCTCGCATAAAGTTAGCTCGCAATCTTCCCGGACGTTTTCAATGTCGACCCGTGTTTTGAACCGAGTACCCTGATACGTCCTGCCAACGCCTGCCGATATATGGCTTCAGCTTCCGTCAATCTTCCCTGCTTCTCAAAGACGGAGCCTAGGTTGCGCATCACGTCCAGTGTTTTTTCATGATCCGGCCCAAAGACTGTCTTTCTGCCTTCTAACACCCCTTTAAACGCAGCCTCAGCTTCTGCTAGCCTTTCTTGGTCAACGTATAGGAGCCCTAGATTATGATTGGCTTGCAGTCTGGACGGATGATCTGACTCTAGTGCCGCCTCGTACCCAGCGAGTGCTTGCAGATACCTGGCCTCGGACTCTGTCAGCTTGCCTTGTTTGCGGTAGAGAGCTCCCAAGGCATTGTATAGGTTGGGATTTGTGGTATGAATTGGATCCGGCGACTTTTGATGCCACGTCAATACCCGCTGGTACAAGTCCTCTGCTTCAACTAGCTTATTTTGGTCTTCGAGAACAATTGCGAGATTATAGACTGAACGCATCGTTGTCTTGTGATCTGGACCCAATTCCTCTGTTCTCTTGGCCAGCACGCGCCTACCCATAACCTCGGCGTCTACCAGCCTTCCCTGGTCATAGTACAAACTACCTATGTTGCTAAGTGTATGTATTGTATTCATGTGATGGGAGCCCAGAGACTTTTCCCTGCCCGACATTGCGCGGTTATACAGAGCCTCAGCCTCTACCCGCATCCGTGAACCGCTATCCACATAGAGGTCACCTAGAAAATGAAACGCAGTATGAAGGTCATTCGCTTGCTCTGGCTCAAGGGCCTCTTCCAACATGTCCATCGACTGTTGAGAGAATCGATTTGCATGCGGTAGCAGACGACGCTGAGTCCTCCAGTAGTCTCTTTCATTTCCATCTGGCACCCCAAACGCAACGGACGTGATCGCCAAAAAAGCTGACTCGTGTTGCCTGTCCGTCGTCACTGTCTTTCTGCACCATTCATGGACTACCGGATGTACCCCATAGGAATCAGAGTCTTGTCTTGCTTCAATCAGTGAGTAAGCGAGAAGGGTGCCAGCGACCCCTTTGAAACTCAATTTGTTGCGAACAACTCTGCGAAACCACTCCGGTGGGCTTGACCACCCTTCTAGGTCCGAGTTTTTCTTGTTGTTGAAAAGCTCAAACCAGATATCCCTATTGTCGAGATAAGACCAAACTTGCAGCATGTTCGCGGCATCTTCATTTTTCCGCTTGACGGACTCAAAGGAAATATTCCATGTGGTCTGGACACTGCGATTCCCATATTCGCGTAACAAGGATTCTGGACGAGCCTCGTGTTTCATGAGATCATCCCAAGCGGTATTGTAGAAGTCGAGGTATTCGGTCACGCTAGTGCCTGTCTCTCGCATGTACGAGGCTGCTTGCGCAAGAGCCAGTGGGAGGGCCCCTACACGATTCACAAGTTCAGATGCCTGTGGGTTATCTAAACAGCATTAGCATTTTGATACCCGCCAACACTAAAAGGCTTAATGTGTTATCGACTGGTGCGTTTTTGAAACTAAGATTACCTATCAATGTAGATCCTGATTGATTCTCCAGGACTTTCAGTCCCTCCTCCATTGTCATCTTGGTGACAGGCATCTCATCTCCTAAGGTTCCGAGTCGTAATTGACGAGTTGTGATGATGATTGCTCCGTGATCGCTTCCGGGCAGGAAATCCACAATGTCGAAAGCCTCTGGATCGTGAGAACTATCGCGATCAACATTGTCGTAGATCAGTAGCCATTTGCCGTTACCCTCCCTGCTGAACCATCCCAGGACTTCCTCGACAAGTTTATCCAGCTGTTCGCTGCCTTGCTGGGTGCAACTCGTGGCAAATTCCGACATCTGGTCTTTCGGCAACCGGCTCGCAATCCCTGCAATACTTTGTTTAAGGCTTTCACGAGCCTGTCCATTGAGCCAGAATACGGCAGTGTAATCAGTTTGATGTTTCCTTGCATAAGCTAGAGACAGCTGTGTCTTGCCAATGCCTCCCAGACCATGAAGCACGAGTTTTTTTTGCTGCTTGCTTTCTTCTTTTGGTAACAATTTTCCCTCCATGTATTGCATTTCCCAATGTCGCTCGACATATTTCCCTACGATCGGGACTCCTCGGATGTGGAAAGGCACTTTGTACGCTTGTCTGCCTGGAAATCAACGACCATCAGTAGTGATTCATCAGGTTCGCTGTTGAAATATTGAGCGATCGAGGTTGACCGATACTCGAAGACAACAGCAACTCCAAAACGAAACAAAGGACAGGTCAAATCAATGCGATATCAGCTTTTGATCGCAACAGCGTGTTCAGTTTGTTCCGCTTGAGAGAATTAGATTCGTAGACATTTAATCGAACGAGCACTAGCGGCTTTCGTTCTGACATCTTCACAACCAAGTACACTGAGAGAAGAAAATGAGGTCCGCCAATGACCCATTTCCATGGGAACTAGCGACCTCTATCCTGCAAAAGCTTCATGCCTAAGCTTCGCGGTCACACACCTTGTTTTAGACGCCCTTCTGATTTCCAGTTGCTCTCTATCTTTGCTTGTGCCTTCTGAATCATGGACGCTAGCATTCGAGACAACTTCCTGAAGTCTTGGTCGTCGCTGTTCGAAAATTTTGTCATTTGAATGTGGTCTTTACTGATACCAAACTCCGCAGCATCTGGAGTGCCAGGAACCACAGCGGACCATTTTGGAACGATCTGGCTGTAGTGAGATGATTGATCGACGTTCATGATGCAGCACACTTACTACTTTGGCCGCTCCACCAACAAGAGGGGTCGGCAATGTCTCATAGGCAAATTTTATGTTGAAGTCTTGACTGATAGATGCAAAGTCGGAATTCTGTTGTTGTAGAGGCTCGGAGTGTTCCTCTAGGTGTTTAAGAAGACTATCATTTGTGTTGCCCCGTACCTTCGCCAGGTTGAGCAGTATTTCCCCAACTTTCACCCCCTGGCCGCCTTGGTGTGGAGTACCCATGAAGATGATGCCGTAGGTAGAGAGCTTGATGGATCTCTCTTCTTCAAGATGACCTTTTCTCACTCGATCGGAGTGAAGTAGTGCCTCGAGAGATGTTAGGTCAAAATGTTAAGCTGTTGTCCACTCAAGCGAGCTTAAAGTTGGTATGCACAGCAGTCCGAAGCGGCAGAAGTCAAATAAACATAAGAAGCATCAAGGAAGACAAAGCTTACACTCTTGACAACAATTCCTCCCAGACTATGAGCGATGAAGATAATTGGCCGTCGATATGAATCATCATCTCGTCGCTCGCCGTCGAGATCCTGTACCAGCGCTCTACCATGATCGTACAACTTCTTGATCGTCAAATGGTCACGATGGCTCTTAGTGTGAGTTCGTGAGTCGTAACCCCAGGTCCAAATGCGCGCGTTTGGAAGCTTGGATGGCAACAGATCTCGAAGCCAGAGTACATCATGTTGATCGGTCCAGGTTGTCTCGCGGTGGCCGTTGAGTCCATGGACTGCGACTATGCTACAATGGGTTTCAGAAGACCTATTTAGCGCCATGGTCGGGTGTACATCTGACTTACTCTACTATCGGCTCTACTCCCCGACAAAGCAATAGCAGCCCATATGGCACTCCAGACACTGCGGATGACGAAGAGCTGGGGAAAGGAGCCCCAGCTGGTGGTTGAAGCTGGCTCTCTGGTTCCGGCACCGGGAGCAATGGTCCGGGAGCAGTTGCAGAGTTAAGATTCGAGCTCGATCCCTAACAACAATAAGCTTGGACACACAAACAAAACAGTGACCAGTAGTCAAAAGGTTGCAAGAACCCGTACCGCTGCCGATGTTCGAGGCTCTTTGCCTTTGGCACGCAGGCGCTTTTGCGTCCATTTCTTCATTGTTCCTGTCTTCGACTGTATCTCGGTCTTGATTAGTATTTTTGTTGATCCACCAGCGTTGTGTAAGACGGTCGTTATCGCTGGTCGTCTGAAGGCTGATTGAGGGGCCACGTTTCGCTAGTTCTATTGTATGACAGCATCATGCATGTCAGAATCCTACGGGGATGATCGCGCCAGACCCCGATATTTTCCCAGAGGTCAGCCTTATTTTAGACGCATAGATGGGGAAGTGAGAAGACATAAAAACCCCAAACATACTCGCGACAATCGAGATTGGGGTCTGAGACCCAGAAAAATGCCAAGTGCTACGCATGCAGACATACCCCGGTACTGCAGAATACTGCAGACATCATGAGCGAAGTTCCATAGATGCTGTTAGACTTGCCAGGCTTGTTCACAGACGCCAGCTTCATCACCTCAACAAACAGAATGTGATCATGCATGACTCGGCTCGCTGTTTCGGATCTAATGCTCAAAGCTGTAGTGCAGCAAGGCACGTAGCCAGTAATGATTGTCTCACACTTCACTCGTTCACAATCCATGCACCCCATCGCTATGCAAGCAAAGACCCATCTCGCTCCCCTCCCCCTCCCCCCTCCTCGCTCAGCTCCCTTTCAACCCATCTTCGCATTCGAGAAATCCATCTCCGGATGACTCTTCTTGAACTTCTCCAACATGTCCAACTTCCCCTGCTCCTCACTCGTCGGCTTCCCCATCTCCTTCTGCCGCTGATCATACATCATTTTCTCCACCATACCCCTCGTCTCCCCATCCAGATCGCCCAGCTTGCTATTCTCCGGCTGGATCTTAGAGGTGTCGAGGAAGTAGGGGGCGTTGGCGGTGACGGAGGCCCACCATTGCTGCTTGTTGGCTTTATCGAGGTGGATGGAGATGTCTTTGCCGGAGGAGGTGGGCTCGAGCGTCCAGGTGGATTCGGAGGGGTGGATCTCGTAGGGGAGGGGACCCTGTGAAAGCAAGGAGCATCAGCGCTGGCTCCACATATAAAGACGTAGCTTAGTATAGAACGTAATATGTAGCTGCGCGTACATCAATGAAAGCCTCCTGGCCCTTCACCCCAACTTTCAGCTTCGTCTTGGTCATGTCTACCACGATGTCTTTACCGCGTAGATTTGAGGCCACGGATATTGTGATGTCGAGGTCTTGTATTGTCTGAGTCCATTTGTACGGTAGCTTTGCTTGCTCTTCTGCCTCTCTAGTGCGGTCTTCCTTGTCTTTCTTCTCGCGCTCCGAGGGTGTAGGTGAGGAAGACATTGTAGGGGTCTGAGGAGAACTACAGTGCCTGACTTTGTGTGTGGTTTTGGCAGCGAGGCAGATGTAGGCCGCGATATCGGCTGAATTGATCTTGACAATCCTTGTAGTTGATAAAAAAAAACCCCCCCCCCCCCCCCCCCAAAGCTCTTCCCCTCGGCTAAATTACCTCTTTTGTCACTCTATACGACGCTAATTTGAGCCGCGGAATCTTTGTCGCTGTGCAACTTCTCCTTCTACAAACACAGCTTCCCGTAACATTTATCTTAGCTAAGATTACCTGATTCAAATATTCGTTATACCATTGTCATCTCAGTCAATATCTACGCTCATCCAAACAAACAATATGCCGGCAACGGATTGTCTCAATCATATTCCCATCTACTGAACAACATGCTTGCAAACCCTTCTCCCGCGCGTATTCTTCGGTATGCGCTCCGTGCACATCAATCCCACTGCATTTCTACATTTCGCTCATCAAAATTCATATTGGCAAAACGCATGAGATACGCAAGCACATCCGCCGCAAACTTGCCACCGTCCAACATAAAGCACTTGGAGTACTCCGAGCAGTCAAAGACTCCCGTTTTGTGAAAATGTGAATCGCAGAGCTCGTCGAACAGTATCTGGCGTAAGCTCCGGTCTCGAGGTCCAAACCGATGCTTGCCGGGCTCTTCAATGTCCGGCATGGTATTCTGCCATACCTCAATGACAATATCTGGTATCAAGGGTGTTCGCAAATTATCGTCCTGAGCGCCGCAAAACAAGTCATGCAAGCCCCAACGGATACTCCAAGCAAAAGATATCCCAGGCCATCTTCTGCTCGACTCGGGTTCATGCAGAATCTTATCGCCAAGAATCCAAAGCCGGCATAGGAGACGGCAAGCGTATTCGCGCCAATCCTGTCTACCGTTCTTCCATTGATATTTCTGTCGGAGTTGCTCCACCATTTCAAGGTTTCCTTGGAGCATCCATTGTACCAGCCAGTAGAAGACCTCGGGGTCATCTTGCGGAAGCCTAAGCGCCTTCTCGGAGGCTTCGCGGAAGAATCCTTCTATAGCGCGCTCCGCGAATCTCGAATGATAATAGAGGAGTTTACGCGGTAAGGTAAAATGTACTTCCTCAGGGCCGACGAATATGTCAACAGCTGGTCCAACTATGAGTCTAGTATGTGTTAGTACTCGGGGGCGATGTTTTCGAAGACGAACAGGCACTCACTGGAAGAAGTCCGAGTCTGAACTCATGTCCGCGTACTTGTCTGTGTACGAGCCGGAATCGCTAGGTGTATCATAACGCTTGGTGTGCGGTGGTGGTGAGTGTGCAGATCCAGATCGCGACGATCCTTGGAATGACCATCGATCGGTTTCAGGGCTATTGGGTGGTCGTACGGGTGCGCAGTGTTTGAAACGTGGAGGCGACGGCACTTCGCTCAATGGCATGGTTATTATAGCCTCTAGCGCGGACTTAAGGCATATATGGTTCTTAGTAAAGGTGGCAGGATCTTCATCGAATGTCCCTGGCGTCGTGATCGCAAAGTCCTCAGCGCGGGCTGAAGTTACACGAGCCTCTCGGTCAGGTGTTGTCAGAAGGTTACCCATGGCGAGAGTAATTGAGTGTTTCTTAATATGGATGCGATGCAGACCGCCAATCAACGTTGAGGTAGGGCCGAGGGGGAAAGAAACCTGCGCTACGCATCAAGATTGCTGAGGTGAAGAGAATGGAAGCAAAGAGGGGTGGGAAGGTGGCAGCGGGGCTGGACGAGGACTGTGTCACTGTCAGAGTTCGGAAATAAGAATTCCCACGAAGGATCGAATTCTTGGCATCCCTGCATAAGCGAATGGGAGTTCCCAAGGTTTTGAGACCTATATAACCACAAAATGGCTAAATGTATATATTTCATATTGAGCGTGTATAAAGTCGTCATTCTCACGCTCTTTATCAACGATCAAGCTATGTCCATGAGAGGGGGTATTATAGCTGGATTGCTCAGTGGACACAGAGGAGAAGATGTACGTGTCTTTGACAAGCAATCAAGATTTCGCAACGTGGCCGTTGAGGCCTGATTGTTCACAAACAGATGCTCAAGCAATCGGACTGTGTTCGAGGACTGAAGCAAACACTCGGCTGTATGAGGCGCTGCTAGGCAATCAACTAAGACTCATATCGCAAGGGACTGAGATCAAACAATTTGAGAGTACCGAATCGAAATTGCAGAACTGGCGTAGTGCACAGGTAGATAAATGTCAGTTAACATGCGGTATAGCGCTGGGCCAATTGATGTCCTGAAACGTAGTCGGCGGCGGATACGCCAACGATCGAAAGACCTCCGTCATAAGGTACAACCTCGCAAACAGATACAGCAATGTGCAAATCGTAGTAAAGGGTCTCAGCAGCGCATTCGTCTTGGTGTCCGTCTCGTTGTCTTTTCTAGCATTGTGTATCGTCACAAAGTACATAGCGGTGCCCAGCAGTGGCATGCTGAGATTTACGCAGCAGGACACGCGCCAGAGCATCCGCTCGACTGGCGTTGGGAACACGAAGTTCCAGGCAACGAAATGGATGGTACCGAAAAGAGCGCCGCCAAAGCCGATGCCTATGAAGATTGGGTTGAGGTAGAGGGTATCCCCTTGCCGCGGGAGTCGTATCGGTATGCCACGTGTCCAAGGGAAGACGGTGTCTGCCATGGCTCGAACAGCCACCCCATGAAGCCAGAATTCGTGCACGAACAAAGTCGATACAGGAGAACGGGCTGCTAAGCCGATGACTTGCTCCCGGGTGAGAATGTTGGTGGCATCGATGTATGTGGGTGTCATGACATCTTGGGGCTTGTGCCACAGGAGGATGTAGGTAGCGATTGCACAGGCTGCGAAGGCGAGGGTGGTGATCTCTAGTAGACTTATCGCGAGACCCTCGCTTGCACGAGCGATTATTTGGATCACAAGCCATGAGATCTGTAAAACCGCGGCTCCCTTGACGAATATGTCCCCTTTGCTTCGGTCTTCCAGATCCGCAGTGCTAAGCTCAGGCGGGCCTGGAATAATACCCTTTTGACACGCATAGAGTAGCTGAATGGATGACAGTGCCCAAGTACCCTTCCATGTTCTATGCGGGCCCAACTTCTCACTTTCAGGTATATTGGTATTCGGCCAATAGCCCTCAGGTGAGGCACCTTGTTGCGCCGGAATGCGCCTTGGCATGACTGGGCTGAGGGCATATGTACTGGGTGCCAGGCCTGCCATAACGTCGTGTTGTGAGAAGTCAGGGCTGTTCACGAGCGTAACAGCTGTCGCTTCTGTTGGCGAGAAGTTTTGTGGAGGCGCTCGGTCTGTCAGGAGTCCCAGCGATTCGGGCTCGGTTGGTATACCCAACGCTGATGTTTCCGGCTGTTCCAACTCTTCAATGTTTATTCTTTGCTGCCCCGTGTTGCTGGTTAGCTCGGCAGGCTGATACCGACGACTCGATGGAGGGCTCGTGGGGATTTTGTAATCGTGAGTGCTAGGCACATTAGGACGGTTTCGGCAGGGTTTCTTGCAAATCTCTCGGCAGTGGTCTAGCTCTGTGGCCTCAGCTTTTTTGGCCTCTTGTTCGTAATAAGGTGGATCACCGTCCCGGGTCACCACCCTGGGATTTTGACGCGATCGCCCAAGCGCAGTCGGCTTTGAAGGCTCAAGTGATGTTGGCACGGCTGCGACATCAAAGCGGAGCACAAAGCCTTCGTTATCTCTCTTATATACTCTTTAGCGCGATAATCTTCTAGAATCTTTTTATAAAACTTATATATCGAAAAAGTACTCGCCTTTAGTAAGTTTAATTCTCGTCAATTATATCTCAACTGTGTGAGTATCGGAGTAGATTGTCGATTATCGTCGCCGCTAGAATAATTATTAAATTGGCTTTAAGTGTTATTAGTACTAGTTAGAGCCGTATAGGTAGTTATTATAATAGTCGGATTGAAAGTTATTTCTTAATTTATTATAATTTTCGATGTCTTACTAAGCTATCTCGGGTGTAAAAGAGAAAGAAAAATAGAAATCTTCTCGATAATATAGCGAAATAGCTAATATTTATAGAATAAACTATATCGTTTAGAGAGATAGTATGCTTATTAATACTTATTCTTCTCGAGTTTTTAAAATACTTTATTCTTAACGTCAAAAACCCACCTTTTCGCCGCAACTAACTTTATATAAACGAGTTCGATTATCTAGTAGATAATGTAATCGAGAAGGTCTACGAAGAATGATCTACTGGCATTAATACTACGGGGATTATTTCTCTTTTAACACTTTAATTTATACTCGAAAGTATAAATAATCTTATTTACTTTCTTAGTAATCTTTTCTACTAATTATTTAATAGATATATAACGATTTATAATAGTCTTAACTAGAGGATAACTACTCTCGCTCCATTAAGTGAAATTATAGTCGAGATTTAATTACTCTTTAGTGTATATCGTAATAAATTAATGCTTCTATTATTGATAGAAACTAATTAAATAGTTCTATTTCTTTTAATATAGGTGATTAAGTAGAATACTACGATTTCGCTCTATATTCTTAAGGGTTTCTAATTTAATCTACTTTTATACTAAATTAGCTAATAACTTTCTTATTAAAAGCGAATATCTCTCGCGAGTTAGTCTCTTTTTAATTGCTTTAGTTATATACTAATTATATAGCTAAAGAAAATAGTCGCTATCTAATTTATTTAGGTGATAACTAAGTATTTAAGTAATCTTTATATCTACTTAAGTACTAGTCGAAAAGATATAATATATCTCATGGAATATTTCATATCAAGTGATACTATATCGTACCCGAATATGATATAAGTAGAGTCGGATACTATTTCATTTTTCTGATATAGGTTCGAGATCTTAGCGGGATATTCTACGGTATGATATATTTGTAATATTATATTATAAAATAATATATATATGAAATATTCCGATTGGGATTTCTATATTTATAGAATAATTCGACTGAGATATATAGAATATATTTATTCTTCTTTATTAAGAGAGAGGGAATATAAAGAGTAATCTAATATAGCTATTTATCTTCTTATTAATAGTAATAATTAGAATAATAATTAGAACTATAAGCGTCTCTATTCTTCTTCTTAAAATTATAATATAAAAGAATATTCTAAATTTTAAATCTTTAAATATTATAAGAATAAAATTCTATAATTATCTCTATTTATATATTTATCTTAACGTATTAAATAAGCTTAATAAACTTTATATTTATTCTTCTCTCGAATTCTCCGCTACTCTTCTATTCTACTCTATCGTAATTCTTTTAAATATCTTAAATTTATTTTTATTTAATTAAACTTATTAACTATTTATAGATAAATTCGCTTTTTAAGTTATTTTAGACCTCTTCGTTGAGGTTAGATCTATTATTATTAATTTTCTTTAATTATAAATTTATTAATTATCTTTTTATATATTATAGAGTATTAGCGATATATCTTAATAAACTTATAAATATTAAACTTATTAAAGTACTTTTCGTAAGCTTATTATCTTCGCTAATATAATTATTATAATTATTAACTAAATTTTTATATAAAGTACTATTAGCTCTTTTAGTTTAATTTAATATACTAAAATCTTCTTTAAGATTAAGTTTAGTCTATTTAAGCTTATTTTCTTAATACTTTATATAAAGAATTATTATTAAAATATAAAATATCGCTAATAAATAATATTTTTAAGTATTATAATATCTTTTAATTATTAAGAAGTATCGCTTATATATAATAGCCTCCGCGAAAGAATAAAGAATATTATAAGTTATTTAAATAATTATAATATATTTAAATTTTAATTTTTTCTATTACTTTAAAATTAAAAGATTCGCTAAATTATTAAAAGAAGTTTTATAAAAGTTAGAGGTAAGATTATAATTAGAATAATAATTAGAAGATTTATTATTTCGTTTATATTACTAAAGCTAATTATACTTATTCTTATTATCTAAATTTTTAATCTTAGATTTTATCGCTTAATCGAGCGTATTTTTATTTAATTAACTTATTCGCTTAGCTCTTTATAATTAACTACTTATATTAATATTTTAATAATTTTAGAATATTCTTTTAAGCGCTTTCTAATAGATCTTCGTCTATAGCTTCTCTTTAATATTAATCTTTTAATTTAATCTCTTTAACTTTATATTATTATAATTTAAATATAGAAGTATAACTTATTTATATAAATAGCTTAAATTTAATTAAGTTTAATTATAATAGATAGTTAATTTCTCGCGAGCTGTTTTAAGAGCTTTAAAAAGTTATTTTTTTTAAGAAATTCTCTTTCTTCTTAATTTTTTAAGCTTTTTATTTATATAATTAAATAGATAATTATAAACGTTAAAGACGTAGTAAATTATAATCTTCTTTTCTTTACTTATTAATTTTATAAATTTATAAAAAAATCTAATAAGCTAAATTAAATATTAAATCTATTAAAAATTAATCGAAAATTATTTAAACGCCTAAACTATAATTTTTATTTATAATTATTTTTTATTACTTAATCTTAAATAGATAATTAATTTATTTTTTAAAAAGTATATAATATTAATATAAAGAAGTAGAGCGCGAATTAATATCTAATAAGTTAAATCTTAGCGAGTCTTAATATTCTAAAAGAGCTTAAGAGAGTATCTCTAATAGTATTACTTTTTTTTAGAAAATTAATATTTATCTAATATTAAAATATTCTTATCTTAAAGCCGTTTAGCTTATAGTATAAAAAAGATCTCTTTACGCTAGTCGCTAATATTAATATATATAATAATTTTTCGAATTTTAATATAATTAATAATATAATAACTAGAATAATAATAAGAAATATTATATCTTTATTAGAGTTATCGATAAATCGACTATACTTACTCAAATTTAATTCTTATCTTCTTTATTATTCTAGCTTCTTTAAAAATTTTTATTTATTAAAATAACTTTAATATTATCTAGAAGTTCTTTTAAGGCTAATTAAATAACGTGCGCTATATAAAGAATATATTATAAATAATTCGAGAATTTAAATTCTTTAATATTAAGTAAGTTCTCTACTATAAAAATAGAAAGATAAATAATTAAATCTTTAAAGAGTATATTATTATTACTAGCGTTATTAGTTATAAGTCTAAATATATAAGTTTAAATCTTATATTTTATAAGAATTAAATTAATAATATTTATAAGTTTCTAATTAATATATTTATCTTCGATATACTCGAAGTCTATAAGAATCTTATATTATTATTAATTAATATTAATAAAAAAGATTAGAATTATTATAAATAATTAGTAATTATAAGATAACTAATAATCTAGAGCTAGAAAGACTTTAATATTATCGATTAATAAATTCTTTAATAATTCTATCTCTAGCTCTATAGCTTTTTTTATTAATTAATTCTTTATAATAAATATTAATTTTAATTATATATTAGAGTTAAGATAGTATAAAAGTTATAGTATTTTAAAATTATTAGCGATTATAAATAAAATATCGATATTTATAATCTAGCGATAAAATTATTTTAAGAAGTCTTCGCGTATAAGCTTTCGATCTTTTAATATTATAAGAAAATCTTAATATTATTTTTTCTAGAGTAAATAATAAGCTAGATATTTTATTTATTATTTTATTTATTAATAGTTTATATTATCTAGCTTAAAAATATATCTAATTTTTATAATTATTAATTAGATTTATTTATTATAAATTACTTAAATTAGATTTCTTAAAATATTTCTTAAACTTAATATATACTATTATATCGCTTATTTCGTAATCTATAAATAAGTAAATTAAAATCTTATTATAGTAATAATAAATAATATATAGCTCTCTAAAATCGACGAGCGTATATTCGTTAAATTATATTTACTTCTGAAATTTTCTAATTTCTAAGTCTTAATAAATAAGCTAATAATCGCTATTAGATTTAAACTAATTCTATATAATTTATACTATCTTTATTTACTACTATATTTATTATTTCTTATTATTAATATTAAAAAGAAAGTAAGATTTATTACTATCTTTATATTAATATATATTTATTAATATCTTATACTAAGTATCGTTAATTAAGAAAGCTAGACTTATACTAAATAAAGATTTAGTTAATATTATAAAATTAAGATATTTAAAGAGAAATTAAAAGAGATATATAAATAAATAAAATATTAGAAATAAAACGAGATTAAT